GTTCTACTAAAGAACTCTGGAGTTGATATAAAACAAATCATCCTCCATGAGCAACTTCCAACCATTTGAAACAAATTCAGGGTGGTCAGTGGATTTTCCATTCTGTTAAGGCAGGAAGTCGCAACGCTAAAATTCTGGCAATATGTTGTCTGGAGCTACAGATCTGAGCCCCAGTGAGAAGATGTGGCCATTTTTTACCAAGCAGATGAAGAAACAGAAGCTCGTGGACTGGAATCAGCTCCATTCACTAAGAAGCACAAAGAGTTAATCAGCATCAATCCTGATTTGTTGATATCGTGTGAAAGAGAAACGCAGAAATTATAAAAAAGAGGTATAAACAGCAGAGATACTGGATGAAAAAGCTGATGTAATTACTAATAAAACCTCTGAAACTTTAAGGAAAGTTTTTTTTTCTTCTTTTTCATATAATAGGAATGTATAAAATAGTTACAGCCACATGCCGTCTGATTTCTCCCACATCTTTTCATACTGTATTTCTCCTTCACGTCAGCGTTCTGCGATCCAGTGAGCAGCCAGTGAACTAGAAAAACTGCAGCGTGGAAGAACAAATAAGCTGCAGAGTAAAAACCTTTTTCAGCCATTCAGCTTCATCAAGCTTTGCAACAGCTTTGCTCTTTGTTTGTTTTTCCTCTGTTTCAGTGACAGAGAGCGAATGAATGGAGGACAGCAGTGCTTACATAAGCCCATTTTACACTCATTTAGGAAAACCCACGCATCAGGATTTGTTCCTTTAATCTGTAGCAAGACTTTCATCTTAAAGTCCAATTTATTTGTTCAGCTTAAGATATAAGCAGATGATTATTTTGGAAAATGTGTGATTAAAGTTTTTCTGCCTTATCACCAGCAGACATGATGCAGATAATTTGGGGTTAAATAAAAGCTCCTTAGTGCGTTTTTCAGATGGTGTTAAGGTCAATCAATGCTGACTAAATCCAGGGCATAATGTTTGCTCCCAAAAAATGTTTTTTACCTTAGTTTTGAGGACATAAAACAGTTGAAAACAAATATATACTAAATTCATATCTGGGATGCCATCTTGTTTCAAATATGTCAGAAATCCAATCTAGAAATTATTAGATTATTTTTGTTCAGGGCTGAAATGAGATTACTAATCACGCTAATAATGATATCAATATATATTAGTAATGGTAAAATCCACAACAAAGTAAAGTCATGGTCGATAAATTAGAATATGGGTTTTGATGAGGCTCTTTTGTAAAATTAACCCTTTCTAGGGCAAGTTACCCTTTTTTATTTGACCAATTAAATGATATATTACCTACTTTAAGTTCAAGGGAAAAAAAAATTAACAAGTCAAGAAAAAGGTAAAAGGTTAATTGAAAAGTTAAAAAGGAAAGGTAAAAAGTTAATAAGCATAGCTAACAATTTTATTTAGGTTAATAAACAATAAGATATAAGTGCCAGTATCAGCATCAGTGCCTCTAAGGTTATCTAAGGTTATAAAAAAAGTGTTTCTTCCCTGTCAGAGTATTTTTCATGAATTTCTTAAAGAAGCAATTTTTTTTATTTTCTTAATATATTCGGGCAAGTTGGAGTTTCTTGTTATTATATTGACATTCATTTTTGCCATTAAAATATCCATATTTTTTTGATCTTACAAAGGTGATAGGATCTTGTCCTGGATTCCAGTAAAAGTTTTGGCTTGAAATTTGGATTTTCAAAGTATTTCTCTGAGTGCCATATAAAGGTTTAAAAGAACCTTTTGCAAAAGAACAACCTTTGGGGATATAAAGAACCTACTTTCCATCAGGATCAGATTTAATAACTGCAGCTTTTTAATTAGCTGTAAAAGGAAAACTATCATGACTAACAGAAATAAAGAGATTATAACGTCAGTCTGGGTCTATTTAACTCCTAAAATTTGATTCATTTTGTAAAATTAAATGGATTTTTCACAAAATTTTCATTTATTTCTATGATTTACATAAACTCACTTTAAACTAGAAATAATTATCAGTTAATTTGACCATTTTATGTTTTGGTTGTTTTTTGTTGCTGTGAAACAGCAGATGGGCCCTTTAGTGTGGCCTCTGACATTGGATTGATCAACATGTACAGAAAGTTCACCTTAGATCTGTTCTCTTTACCAAGCCGACTTCCTCTAATGGGTTTAATGGAAATAATTACTTTAACTGTATAAAAAAGTCTGATGCATTAAACAGAAAGGAAGTTATAAATATTCTGTGATTTTTATTTACTTTCTTGAAACAACTGGCAGCACTGTTGTCTCACAGCATAAAGGTGCGAGTTTGAATCCCAGCCTGGGTCGTTCTGCATGTTCTCCATGCATATCTGCACTCTGGTTTCCATCATTGGTTGTGGATCATGTTTTAAGCTTCTATGAAGAAACAGAATAACAGAAAAAAGTTAGAATATTTTTTTTTTCCATCATTCATGATTATTACAAGTAGCAAAGTAAATCAGTATTTCTAAAAGACCTTCAAGTAAATCTGGAAAAGAAGAAAAAAATAAATCCATGAGTTTAGAAGTAATATTTGCTTAAGGGATGGTCTAACACTGTTCCAGAGCCTCACTCCGCCCACATCTGATATTTGAAAAAAGTACCTGGCGACAGACGGACCAGGGAACATATGCGGGGGGTCGAGGCTTAGGTTTGGTCTCTGCTGTGATTATCAGTGAAACAAACATGGAGACCAATCTCACACTGGAAAAAAAATCAAAATCTAGATAAGTCATTTTTTCTTAAAATGTTCTTGAATTGAAGAGGTAAAAAAGACATTTCGCCAATGGAATAAGACAATTTCCACTTAAAATAAGAAAAAACAATTGCATTGTCTTATTTCAAGAGCATATTATCTAATTATCTTATTTTAAGAGTAAAATACTCAATCCATTGGCAAACTATCTCGATTACCTGCTCAAATTAAGGTTAAATACGCTTAATTTAAGACATTTTTACTTATGTTTAGAGTGTTTTTTCAGTGCAGTGATGATAGTTTTGTTATGGAGAAGTCATATGGGTAGAGTAAGATGCTTTAGAGGCCTGCAGACCGGAGCTGTACCCGTTTGAGTGACTGCCACCCCTTAAGGATTAATGCATGGATGGAGCTTCAGTCTGTAAAGGATCCAAATCTCAACCTGGGCCTTTGTTCCAGTGTAAGCTTTGTTTGAGTGAGTGTAGACCAGCACATTACAAACCTAAATCTGGTTTAATCTCCAAATAAATCAGACACTCTAAAATAGATGGCAGGGTATGTCCTTCAGTACCAGCTGAATTCTGATTTCCTCTCAGAAATTGGCTTTATTCAAAAACATTCTAGACATGGATGAAGAAATGCTGAGGTGTCTAAAAGCTGGTCTTTGATGCATCCTGCTGAAGAGTGTTTGTTTGTGCTGTTAAAGCAGCAGGTATTCAGGCCAGAATGAATCATCAGTTATGATGGTTTAACTTTAGATAAACATTCTGAATGGATTTTGAGTAAATCAGCAGGAACTGGAGGGTTTTGGTGGAGTTGCAGGCTCGGCTTCCCTCAAACCAACTCAAACCGGCATAACTGGGTCTCTGAGTTAAGCAGCAGCAGGAATAGCTTTTTTTTTTTTTTTCACTGTTTACACTGTTCCTGGAATAACCCTGGACCAAAACCAGCAACTGTAACCAAGATAAACACACCTTCACCTCTTTGTCCTGCTAAATGTTATTTAGACTTGGAGTCTAAATGTTATCTAAACACCATTTTGTTTCAAAGTGACATTGTTTTCAGAGTATTTGTCTAAACTTCAGCCTGACCTACTTACTTTAAGAAACTTATGAAGATTTCTGATCATAGTTTATGTAATCATAGCTGCATTACCATTTTTATTGCAAACTTTCCTAAGTGCTGTAAAAAAACACTGGAAAAATTCTTATTGTTTCACGGTGCCAAGAAATTCAAAGAAAGCCACACAGCAGAGAACAAATCAGAGGAAGGATGCAACAATTGTAAGGAATCTGGAAAGAAATCTGGTGAGAGATTTGTCCGAAGACCCCGGAACAACAGCTAAACACAAGTTAATGACTTGGCTGAGTCAGGGATTTTATCACAAAAAAAAAAAGTCTGCCTCTCAGGCCCAATACAGAAATAGATAACGGATGATTTAGGATGCGGGCAAAGAAAACCCCCACTAGGAAAGACACCTTCAATCCAGACTGAAATATGCTTATAACAATGTGCAAAAAAAGATTTTGGATATGGAGATGTGTCCTTTGGTCAGATGGGACCGAACTTAAGCTTTTTATCCACTGACATTACTTATCTTTGGAGAAGAAAAACAGATTGGCATACAACCTGGAGAACACAATCCCCACAGTAAAACATGGTGGTGGGATCATGTTACAAGAATCCTGAAGAAAGAAGGATCACAGTCTACAGCAACCTTGTATCTGGGTTGTTGAAAAAGCTACCCCCAGACAACCAAAGTAAACATTACCGACTGGCTGGCATAATGCTGAACATTTTGGGTTGATGCTTGAACAGTTAAATTTGCAGAAGCATCTAAGATCTACGAAGGAACAAGCTGGGATTCCTCTGGAGATTTGCCACAAATACAAGCGCCTGTAGACTGTATGAAAAGGTTATATACCCGAGCATCAGCAGCAGGGAGGCTCATTTTGACACTGGTAGTTTGCAATCCTTTATCTAGCCAGTTTGTTGTATAGATCTAAAGGTAAATGTAACGACCTTTGGACTTTTTCCAGAGGTAATTAACCAAAACGACTGTATGCGCTGCAGTTTAAGACTAACCAGAGCTCTTAAAGGCGAGAAAACAAGTGCATTGTATCATACTTCACTGGTTGGGATCATTCTTCATTGATACATAAAATACTTAGCTTTGTTCTTTATAGCTGAACCACTCAGTCTAAAGACAATGCAGAAAACTTCATTACGGCAATTTTCTGCATTCATGGCCACATTACTGTAACCTTATGGCTGGAAATGAGACAAGGATTAAAAACAGCATTAGGCTGCAACAGACTACTTTATTGCATTTGCAATATTACAAGGAGACAATTCTGGTAACAAAAACAAGTGGAAATATGCACCACAGTGTCAATAGAAAGATGTCACAAAGCAAAATGTTACAAATGTTAAGGAACTCAGCTTCATTTTTTTTCTTCAGTTTTTTAGTCGTTAGAAAAAGAAGTTATGAAACATGAAAAAACAATGCAGCCTTTACTAAGATGAATACATATAAAAAAAAAAAAATGATGTAAACGGGACGATCTCCGTCGCCTAGCGTTGGTCGTTGGTTCGGTTCTCCCCAGGGTGCAGTGCAGACTGAAGAGAGATGCAGGATCACGAGGAGGCGGGGCTTCCTGCGTCGCTGCTCTCGCTCGCCTGCCGCTGCATCACCATCTCCTTGGCGATGCAGGTGATCTGACCATTGGTCACTGCACCCGAGACCCCCGCCCTGGCAGAGAGAGGCAGCGGTTAGAAAAATAAACACCATATGCATACAAAAAGATATCAGATAGCTTGACGCCATTACTTACTTCTGCTGTGCCTCCTCAGTCAATGGTGTCATCCCTGGCTGCTTCCCAAAGAAGAAACTGGACCACCAATGGCCAGAATCCTGCTTGGGGAGACCTGTGGACATAGATGAACAATAATGCAAATGTCACAAAGACATAAGCAAACAAAAAGGGAAAAAAAAAAAAAAAAAGACAAAGGGATGTATAACACAACATGGACACACCCCCTCCTTTTGACCTACTTTCCTGCTCTGCCCTGCTAGAGGCACATTTAAAAAAATAAAAACTGTTCCTCTGCGTGATTAGACAGAACCCCACCAGACTGCCATCAAATATGTGAGGATTACTGATGAGGACACGCCAACTGCTGCTAAGACTCAGCAGGGAAGCACACCCAGCCTCATCACCAGGAAACAAAACTGTGGGTGTGGCTGGGTTAAGAAATCGACTCATCGCACAAAAAGCACAGTGAAAAAAAAAAGTGATACATTTTTCCCAGCCAAAAAGAAATTAGAAAAAAAATTGATTCGTCATGCATAAGCAACACTGGTTTCTGGGTGTGCTACAAACATATCATGTCTGGAAGTTAAAGAGGGGTCCTTTGGAGTTTTTAACAGTCTTTATCTTACTCTCCATCACAATCCCTCTGAAAAGGAGTGTTATGAGTCTTAAACTCAAATTACTTCTTTTAAAGCACCTTTATTACTATTAAAGCAGCTACCATGGATGAATTTACCATTGTCCCTGTTCCCTTTGAATGAAGTTAATTACCTGGATGGTGAGGGATGACCTCCCCACTGTACTCCGAACTGCCGCAAGAGCTACTACTGGATGTAGAGCCGATGCGCCCTGCAAGCAAACAATAAGGAGGTTAGATATTAACACAAACACAAAAACAACCATCAGGACAGGAGAGACACTCACTTCGGTAGTAGTCAGTGGTCGCCACGAGGGAACCGCCTGCTGGAATGGCTGCCATACTTCAGGAGTTGGTCACTGATGGGCTTGATGGAAACCTGAAGAACAACAATCACATCTGAACAGTCAGACTAGAGCCTTTAAATTAGCTCAGCAAAATGATTGAGATTTTGCATCAACAGCTTGAATATTTAAATTCTTTCAAAGTTTTCAGATAAAACTGAAACACAATAGAAGCTGATGTGTGTCTATAACAACACAGAAAAATTAAAACTGAAAGAAAAACAGGAAAAAAATGTGAGTATTAATTTAAGATCTATTTAAACTCAAGACTTCCAGATTGTCAGTTTTAGACCCTAAGGATTTTAGGGTGTAAAAGTGCCCATTTGTTATTTATCTCTTGGAGGTAAAAAAATAAAAAAAAAAAAAAAAAAACAAAAAAAAAAAGACGCTATGTGGAATTATTTTTTTTTTTTATTCATTTAATTTTTTTAATCTTCATTCAAAGGTAGTTCTCCCCTACAAAAAAAACAAAACAAAAAAACGTTATACTTGACCCACTGAGCACAAGAAAAACTGATTAAGGGGGGGAAATGATTAAAGGAATAGTACACCCAAAACATGATTAGCCTTCATTTTCTACTCACCTCCATGCTGAACAACACTCTGGAGTACTTTTTTGATATCTCAAATGCATCTGGAGATCTGGGAGGCTTCTTGCTGTCTGCTGACATTCAAATAATGGAGGTCCATGGCGCCCGAGACAGAAAGGTCCATAAAAGTCCACAAAAACGTGTCAATATTCCTCCATACTGCTCGTCCAATGTAATCCAAGTGTCCTGAGTGGGTAGCATCCAGAATTTACTCGAAACGAAGTCATTTAGAATGTTTTTAGAGCATAAACAGTAGTGTATAGGATTTCCTAATAGCGCCCCCATGCGCGCTCGCGATTCTACGGAAGCCGGCAGACCAAACCAGCGCATTCAGCTCGGCAAAGAACTCATGCTCTTCCTCAACACTGAAGTCCTCAGACATTTTTCTTTCGTTGTTTCTTTCTTTGCACAGGTAAACAGCACATTTCTTCTTCTACGCTTGCAGTATCGGCAGACCAGACGCTGAATGCGCACTTTCTTCCGGTTTGGTCTGCCGGCTTCCGTAGAATCGTGAGCGCGCATGGGGGCGCTATTAGGAAATCCTATACACTACTGTTTATGCTCTAAAAACATTCTAAATGACTTCGTTTCGAGTAAATTCTGGATGCTACCCACTCAGGACACTTGGATTACATTGGACGAGCAGTATGGAGGAATATTGACACGTTTTTGTGGACTTTTATGGACCTTTCTGTCTCGGGCGCCATGGACCTCCATTATTTGAATGTCAGCAGACAGCAAGAAGCCTCCCAGATCTCCAGATGCATTTGAGATATCAAAAAAGTACTCCAGAGTGTTGTTCAGCATGGAGGTGAGTAGAAAATGAAGGCTAATCATGTTTTGGGTGTACTATTCCTTTAATGACCACTGGTGAACATTGGGGATACATAACCCCTAACGTGCAAGTATTATGAAAACATTTATACAGATTCAGGGTAAAATTGTGTTTCTGTGTTAAACGCTTTGTTACAATGACATCCCCACAGACACTGCTCTGCAGAGAGAGAGGAGGGGGTTGTTTACATTTAAACAGTCACTGCAGCAAACCCACATCTTTGCATTCATCTCATTCAGACTAGTGGAAAAAAAAAAAAAAACCGCAGCCGGTTCTGACCGGTACTACACAATAAAACCCACTGGAGTTCAAGGTGGACGACTTCCTGCTTCGCTTTGAGGACATTTTGTGTCAGAACTAGAACAGCTTAAAAAAACAAAAAAAACACAACAACGTAGCCGTGACCATTTTGGCAGTTTCTACATCTGCTAGCTCCCTGCGACCGTTAATGAGCGGTAACTGAAAGAAACCGTCAGACCAACCGAAATTAATTAAGTTTATTCCTACCGACAAGAAACAAAACAAACAAAGTCACCCCGAATAGCTAGCATTTAGCTCGCCTCGCTGACAGGAACCCGCCTCCCATGGGGGGGAAACGGTTTCCACCATTTTCTGACCAAAATTACCACGACGGAAAGCCTCACCTTTACTAACCCAGACGATGTGCTGATGTTCAGTAGCACTCAATTCAACTCAGACGGCGAGGATGGGGGGAGTAAACGCTAGGCGACGGGGCCCATTTGAAAAAAGGTTTTGGGTAAATGTAACCCTCCAAGGTCCGTGAGGATGTCGACGCTGCTTCTTTGTAGAGCCCGGAGAAGCAGCACGAGGTTTTATACTGCGGAGCAATGACGTCTTCAAAAGAGGCGGTGCTAAAGGAAGACGATTATTTCCCCCCATCAAGGGTTCATACAATATTAGAAATTTCTATATACGTCCAGAACACCATTCTTATTGTGACTTTGAATTATATATATATATATATATATATATTCGTTGTGTAACACAGAACAACAATGTAACAGCTATATAAGACCGTAAAATATGACTCACATTATGTGAGTCATATCCGGTCTCCATCTTAGCCAAGGACTATGGCAGGCCGTTTTGACATTTATTAGAAGCGCTTTCCTCTCTTGCGTTTGTTAATCTCTAAAATCTGATTCTTCCTAGTCAAAACTACATTCCTACTAGCCAGAAATGTACATATAGATATCCTAAATTACATTTTTGCCAGAAAGAATTACATTTCAGGCTGCCAAAAACATAATTGTACTAGTAAGAATAAACTTTCAAATGCCTAGAAATGTTTCCAAATTTTAAGTGGCCCTTTTGACATTTATTAGTTTGAATATATATTTCAGATGTCTCAAATGCATGTCTTCCTAGTCAAAATGAACATTTCAGACATCTAAAATAACATTCTTCCTATCTAAAATATACCTCTCAGATATCTAGAAATGTAATTCTTACTAGTACAAATAACGTTCCATTTCCTGTGTATTGGGCTTTTATTTCCAGATATCTACAATAAAAATTTTTCTATCTAAAAATGAATTCTTAATAGGATGAATTCTATTCTATTCTATTCTATCTAATTCTGATCTCCATAATAGAGTTTCTGCTAGTCAAAATTGTTATTTCAGACATCAAAAATGAATATAACATTACCGATATCCAAAAATCCAATTCTTGACATCTAAAATATATTTCTACTAGTAGAAATATAATTACAGATATCAACTATTGATATATGAGTAGTTAAAATGGAATTTAAAATATCTAAAATTTAATTATGTCTATCCAAAATATAGTTTTAGATACCTAAAAGCATATTTTGACTAAGATTCAAAAAAGAAATGGGGCGCCGTTTCAACATAAAACAGGCAGACTGACTAGTCACCTATTCTAGATAGCACAAAAAGCATTCTACCTTTTCACAATTACAATATTCCTAGTTAGAATTGTATTTTAGATATCACTAATTACCTTTCTACCAGTAGAAATTATTTAATAATTTTAAGTACTCTGGAATAAAATTTGTACTAGTAAGAACTACATTTCAGATATCTACAAATCTTTATTTATTTAAGGTGGCCTTTTATACCTATATTTGTATTTCAGATATCTTTAATAGTATTCCTCCTAATTTTAAATAGGAAGAATGTTATTTTAGATATCTGAAATGTTCATTTTGACTAGGAAAAAATGCACTTCTGACTGAATATAGTGTCATATATATTCTACATCTGGAATATATATTCCACATCCGGAATATATAGTCAGTCAAGTTAATAAATGTCAAAATGAACTGCCATGCCATACCAAGGGTTCGTCATTTACCAAACACTATAAACCCTTGGAAATGGCGCCACCTGGTGGTGAAATTGATCACATTTAATGAAGCATTCAAAATGCCAGCAAAGGAACAAGTTTAGGTTAAAAATATCATGTGTAAAGTTATTACCCACCTCTGGCTGCAAGATTTACTTGTAACTTCAAATATATATATTTTTAAATAATAATTGAACATGGCAGCCCACTGCTGACCAAGGGGATGTGTTCAATGCAGAGAATTAATTTCGTTGCTTTGTACTTGTGACATTGGAATGACTATAAAGTTGATTTCTAATTCTAAACTTTATTGATCTCACCCAGGAGAAATTTACCTCTGCATTTAACTAGTGTTGCGCCGATGCCATTTTTTGGCCCCGATACCGAAACCCAATACCTGGCTGTGCAGTATCGGCTGATACCGATACCATAATAATGTAAAATAATTGCCATCATGGCTTTGTCAAGCTGCTGCCTACATTTGTGAAGCAGGGAAAAATCTAATACAAAGTGAATCCAGTAGAACTTTTTATTGCCTACCAGGAGTGGGTGATAATAGTTGAATAAACTTATGGCTCTCAAAATGGTATCGGTGCCCTATTTGTTGGTACTCGCCGATACCGATACCACCATTTTAGGGCAGTATCAGGGCCCCGTCCGATACTGGTATCGGTATCGGTGCAACACTACATTTAACCCATCCCAATGGGGGAGCAGTTGGCTGCCATTGTGCAGCGCCCATAGAGCAGTGTGGGGTTAAAGGTCTTGCTCAGGAACAGGCAATGGGGGTCAAACCGGGTATTGGCAACCTTCTCAGAGCACAAGCGCACTTCTCTAACCATTAGGCCAACACTCCCCTCTTTGCAAATAACCATAATGCTCATATAGATAATACACAAAAATACTTATTTACAAGTAGGCTATATAAAGTAATTTCAAAGTATCTTTTACCAGATTACTCCACTTCATGATCTTTGCTTTTAGTGCTAAATTAAGTCAGGAAACCCCAAGGTGATTTATTTTACATCAGTCATTTACTCAAACATTCATTAATGGTGATAAGCTACATCAGAACCTCAGCTTTTACTTATATTGATTGGTGGACGCAAGAGGAAACACAGTGGCTGCAAAAATAAAAATAATGTTAGTAGATGGGCATAAAATTCAATTCGTAGAACTTTGTACTTTTAATGTTCACCTACTGTAAGCTCAGGTGCATCAAGCAAACATTACAGTAAAAACTCTCAGTAGTTGCTCTTGCTCTCGTTTAGATGAAAATTTGCTTTATTCATTGAATCAATTATGATTAATTTCATTGGTGTTTTCTGAAAGTCATTTCTGCACTGCTCTTTTAGAGTCTGCACACATTTCAACTCAAAGCCATCTGCAAAATATTTATTCTTGTATATTTCAAACACTAACGGAAGTGTTGAGGAGCCAGCTTGCTCCATGCTTTAACCTTTCCCATGCTGTGGTATACAGAGCTTATGGTTAGCTTGGATGAGGTGTCTGTGCTGAGTGTGCTTTTCTCAAGGCATGATGGGACTACATATCCAAACATCTGTACTTGTTCCATCATAAATCTGAACAGGCAAACTGAGGTCTGCAGAATCTAATGAGCTTAAAAGGTTGTATTTTTTTTTTTTTTTTTTTTTAGCATGGCACACCAAGTGAAATTCTACAGCTGCCTGTCTGAAATGTTTTCCAAATGCAGTAAATATTTCCTTCTAAATCTAAAGATTTATTTGGAAAAAGGATCTTATGACATTTATTGCCAACAGTTCCCTTCGGTTTTTAACGAGGATCTTCTAACGAATTAGAAGCACATGGAATATACTCACTTTTGACCCATTTTCCCTCTTAAGTTAAATGTTGTGTTCAGGAAGTGCTCTAGAATGTAGGAAGAAAAACACAAATCTGGGACCAAACTCAGGTTTTCATTTAAAGGAATGCTTTATTTGATCTCAACACATATACAACAAAACCAGAGATCTTTAATTATTTCAGCATGATTTCCCAAATCTCATCACTTTCCAGGATCTACACCAGCAGAGACTAAGCTGGGACCAAAGTGAATAAAACTCTAAGTACTACACTCTCCTCTGTGCAAGCTTGTCATGAGCTGCGCTTCCCTTGGCACCTGAAAAATAAATGATAAAAAAAAAAAGGTACATCCGTCTTGTTTTGGCCATCTCCAAAAAATAAAAAGAATTAATCTAAATTATTTTAAACCAGTGGGGAAAAAAAGGAAACTTTTGAAACTAAACCACATTTCTTTCTCTTAGGAGTGAATCCTTAAACGACTTGAGATGAACATTTCTTGCGATGTGCGAAGGCATCCCTTTTTGGCAAAGGAAAACTTACGTGAGATGAAGATGTGTTCTGTAACATATTTAAATAATGGCAACTTGTTGACAAAATCTCAAAAAAAGAGGGAAACTTTTGTATTCTACAGGAACATATCTACTAACAAATAGTGAACAGAAACACAAATGAAACAAAACAAACATATGATGCAGTAATGCAGTTTGATGACAAGTTGGACTTTTTAAACTTTTGATCTGGAGCTTTAAAAAGTCCCGCTCTGAGCTTTAGAGATTTGGAGAATTTTCCTGCTTATAATGCCTTAAATGAAGGAAAAAAAAAAGAAAAAAAAAAGAGAAATGAAACAGGAGATCAACTGCGGCGTAGAAGAGTCAACTAAATATGAGAAAACCTGAAAGTTATTCCATCATGTTTGTCAAGATGGAAAAAAAAAATAAAATGCAGAGCTTCCTTCTTTTATTTTGAAAGAAAAAGCCTCTCAGGCCCAAAAAAGGGGGGATTTTATGCAGTTTGGCATCATGCAGCCAGTGAGTTTAGTTTGTGTGTTAAAAGCAGCAAAATGCGTGTACATTCAGATACTTGTTGGCAAAGGTGTCGCCTATGGCAGCGGGAGATCATCTCTGTCCCTAAATGAACGCGGAACTTTATAAAAAAAGGGAAGAAAACATCAAAGTTTCCTTCTTCTTTGAGCTAAATTTGAGCAGGTGAGCCTGTTAACGTAAGGCGCCGACATTCACCAGGTATCAAACGCAACAAAGCCCCGCCTCCCACAGAACCATGGCCGGAAAGCACAGATTAGGTGGCTTTAAATCTACACTACTGAAAGAAAATGCTGCAAATTAAACCCAGTTTGATCGGATCGAGAGCTGCTTTGGTTTAATTAGTGTCACCAACTCATTCCTGGCTGAAAAAACTGACCCATTAGTGTTTGTTTTTTTCCACACTGACTTTTTCTAACCCACCAAACCCTGATAACTACCACCGATATATTGTAGTCTTATATATTTATACTTATTGATAAAAATTATGTAAAAACGTTTTGCAAAGCAGTGTAAAATAGTTTATAATACAAAATGGGTGCAGTTTTTTACAACTTGGGTGCTTTTTTTTTCTTTTCCTGTGGCTGTTTGCAGGGTTTCTAAGATGAAGCAAACATGCAGATATCTAAGATGTCCTTAATAACGGCGAAGCAAAGTCTGCGTCTAAAGAGTGGAGGAACGAACTGGGTGCGAGTGAGACAGGTGAGGAAACAGTGGTGATAGTAACAGTTGCTCACAGTGTGGGTGGAAGCTAAACTGGTTTTTAACTGGCACCCGAATCCACCCTGATGCTCGGTGAGCCTCAGAGACGTCGGCTATTAAACTACAAGTGAAAATAAAAAACAAAATGACATGAAAACCTCAACATCTTTTAGGTTTTTCCTTCTTAAAACGATGTTGAGGACTGATGATAGGAAAGGCAAATTATTCCGGTTTGAACAATCTTTGAAGAGTGAGAAAGAGAACCAAAGGTGGAGGAAGCAGCAGTGATGGGACAGTCGACTCATCAGCCTGCCTGCTGTGGTGCGTTTACAGATCGTAGGACAATACGCAGAGTGTTGCTGAAGGGTCAGAGGTCCGGGCTCGATAACAGTACAGTCTGAGGTCGTGAGGAAGATGGCAGCAAGGGGGAGGAGGAGGCGGCGTGTTGTGCGCTCAGAACGGCGGGTTGTCCTGAGTTGGGGTGGTGTCGGTGGGGGAGCTGACGGCGTCTCCGTTCCCTCTGGGTCCGACAACCTTATGCTGAACAGGGTGGAGGGGAAAGAGGAAGACGAAAACAGAGGAAACAGAAGAGTGTCAATGATCGTCGTGGTTCACTGACTCAACAGTTTCTGCTTCCTGTTTACGGTGACGTCGAGGATCTGGTGTCCTCTGATGGGGTCTAACTATAGCCGCTGATATGAGGCCGGCTTGATCAGGAAACTATTTCAGTAAAGTACGCATCCAGACAGGAAGCAGCTCCAAGAACTCAATAGGATTAAGTCTCTAATAGACACTTTTAGATATTTCAGTTCCTCTCAGTTATTCAGATTTTCTGCAGAGTCATAGAACTTCACAGTTTAGATTATTGTGCAAAGTGAGGAGTTAACCGCAGGAGCTTTAGTGGCTTTGAAAACTTTATATTTTAAATACATTATAGAAACTAATTTATCCGGTCACCAGCTAAGCTGATTAAAGGCAGGATGGTCTAACGGTCTCCATTAGTCTGGATTTGGTCCAAAAGGTCAGAGTGAGAAAAGATGAAAAATGAATGAAAAAAAAGCTTAAAGGTGGATAATTTCCAGCTAATAAATGATTTCTATTTGCCAGAAATCCTGAATAACCTCTGAACCGTTTATAATTCAAGGATTTTCTCAGACAAACCGAGTTTTCTCACCTTCAGGTTTCCCACTTTGTCCTCAAATGACTTGAAGGTTGGAGAGTTTCTATAGAGCAGAAACATGAAGTCAGTTCGGCAGAAATATCAAATTATTCAGCTGAAATATACTGAGAAAAATTATTTAATCCAACAATAAAACATTTATTGTCAAGATTAAATTGTTTCATAGGAAGATCTTTAAAATAAAAATAAAAAGTGTGGGTATACAAAAACCTTAATTTTAACAGTGTATTCTAATCTAGAAAATGGCCGTTTGACACCCAAACATGAAAAAGTCAGACATAAGTTTTGGTAAATTACATGAGGATAAATAATAAATAACTCATCCAATTTAATTACTACTTACAACAATAAGCAGATAAAAAACAAAAAACAAAACTGTATTTAAAAAGCTTAAGATACCATATGTAATTTTATTGCTATACATTTCCATATAACTTTTATAAATAACAAAATATATAATTTATATATATATACAAAATATTAAAGAAATAAAACTGGAACAGAATATTAAAAAGAGCATCATTACAAACCAAATTTATTAATTTAAAATATAAATAAGACTGAGAAAATCAAATTTAAAAATAGGAAATGAAGTAAAAGAAACATTTTAACAAAAGGATGCCATCACACTAACAGAGGCCATTAGGATCTATTGGCTACAGGATGAACTCGGTGATACTTTACCTCATGGCAGGCATACTTATGGAGTGGCGAATGGAATAGTTGCTACTTTGCAAGCATTAAAGAGAGGAGAGAGTGCAAGTGTTATACAGCAAGCAAAGGGTGAGACAGAGATTCACATTTAAAGCCTGCATCTAATAAGGTTTTATCGATTAAAAGTGTAGATCTGATGCTTTGTAGCATTAGTTTGGCTTCATCTATGGCTTTCTAAAAGCTCAACTCAGAATATTTTCATTTAAACTTGCATGTCTTCATCATCCTGATGAGTTTCAGGATGACTGACCATGTAAAGTTGATGTATTAGTCTTACCTAAAGGAATTAGAGAAAGGCAGAGCTCTGATCAACCCGCGGCAGCAAATAAAAACAAGAGGACAAAGTAAGGCAAAGGGACAAACGGAAACTAACAGGCGGAGAGGACGGTGCAGGGTGAAAAACCAACGTTATCAGATGGGACCAGAAACACAGGATGCAGATAAGAGAGCAGAATCTGTTTGCTGTGGAACCAGTGTCACCGGCAGCGTAATGCCGTTCCTTTTCTGAACATGGAGGCACGTACTGTACAAGAAGCCACAATGACACAGGAACTACAACAATTCTGACAGACAAAGGAGCCAAAAATACAAACAAAAATGATCCAAGCTGAATTCTGTTAAGTTAATGGTAAACATTCATTATCAAGCCTGAATCCAATGGATCAAATTACACAGTATGTTTTATCCATAGTGTAGCTTCAGCTTGATTCATCTTCATTTAAACAATATTTAAATATGGGGGGGAAAAAAGGAAAGAAAGCTGGACCTTCTAGCTCATTTATGTATTTAGAAGAAAGGTGAAAACACAACCAGCTTTAAAGACACGGAGCCTTTCAAGGTTAAAGCTTTCTTCCGACATGGAAGCACACTACTGGTGCTAAATACAAGCTATGGTCGCTGTTTAAAACTAAATATTTCTCCTAAAACCGTGCAGTTGGCAATAATCTGACACTTAAACTGTCTAAGAACAGACGTTCGTGCAGAACAGCTAACATCTACATTGGTAGCAGACATGCAGGCATGCAGCAGGTTTTCTACTACAGTAACTACTAAAGCAAGGAAACAGATTAAAGGTCTGTTATGATAAATCTGCAAGGAAAAGAACAAATGAGCCGTCTGTAACAGAAAGCTTTGTGTTTACCGCTTAAAATTAAATAGATATATCAATATCCTCATGGTTAAACATGAACAGGTCTTTAAATAGTTGGTTTGTTCTGCGCAGTAACTGAGTCAACCTTTATGTTGCTCAGACTGAACAGAGCAGTACAGAATGTCTACTGACTCTTCTCGTTTGTTCTTGTCTGCAGGTAATGTTGTCGGCCATTTTCACTCCGTACCTCATGTCGCCCAACCTCCTGCTGATGGCTGTGCCCAGCGTGCTGAGAGCTGCGGTCGTCTTCTGCCCCGCCTCAGAGAGAGTCTCCTGGGTTTTCTTGTATCTGCAGGGAAGGAAGCAGGGATGAGTAAATGAGAAGAAAACATGAAGGAGAAGGGATGATGGAAGAGACAGAAAAGAGGATTTTTATTACCATGTGGAGGCGTGAAGAAAAGGCAAATGAGTTAAAAGGGTGAAAGAAGGGTTAGCCGAAAATAAGAAGGCAACCAAGATCCAAAAGGTTAATAAACTAGAAGATGAGATTCTTTTTCTCTTCTATCTGAAAGCTAAAAAAGGTGTTAGGAGTTTCTGGCAAGACTCCATCTGTGAGTAAAGCATGGTTAGGGTTGGGTTAACCTTACAATAATGTGGGATTCGTCTCATGCAATAGGACCTAAAACCGTTTATTATCACTACGATTCAAACTGAGGATAAACAGTAAGTCTTTGATCATCGCCTCAGATCCTGCTGAACATCAGAGGTGGAACGGTTCACAAAATCCACGGTTCGGTTCACGGTTTCGTGGTCACGGTTTTCGGTTCAGTATATGTTGATTGTTAGCCTGACATGTTGGTCGTTTTGCTGTTGGCATAAACAAAAAGTGTTGCACAATGCTTGCAGACTGTTTTTATCCACAACTTTCTTTCCGCCGTCATCGTAGGTCACTCTAAATGCAAAGTGGTCACATACAGCAGACCTATAAAGTGCTGCTGGCGCGTCTTCCAACTCCTGTTCTATCCCACTCGCCATACACACACAATTCTCCACAACAACTGATTTTTTTTCTGCTACACCCGGCTACGCTGCTTCGCTTCTTCCTCTTCTTGTTTACTACTGGTGGTTGGCTTTGGTCGCAGTAGCGCCACCTTCTGCTGTGGAGTGTAAACGCTTCGCCTATGAGAAAAAGGAGCAGCGCATGAACCCAACGCAACACACGCGAACCGAACCGAGACAGTCGAACCGAACGGTTCGGATGGTTTTCATAAACCGTTCCATCCCTACTGAACATGAACCTGTTCTTACGTCTCCAAAGACACGTCTACAAGCAGCAGGACGCCAACCAGATAAGAGCCAAAATAAAGGGAATTAAGGAGAATTATCAGGTAGATTTTCATGGATTCATCTGAAATATTTAAAATAGAAGGATCCTTCTTAGTTCAAGGACACGGGGACAAAAAGGGAGAAGAACGGGGAACCTGAATGAGGGTCTGGATGGTTAGGAAGGAGGAACTTATTAAAACTAGTGCTGCACATCATCAGGGAAATAAAAAACTGTTACACTGTTGCTAATAAATTATGAATAATCCTCATATTTCTGACTCCTTTCCAGTTAATATAAAGACACCAGTGTTGAACATTAGGATCGATTACATGTCTTCATCCAGCTGACTAAACATGTTATTAATATACAGGGTGTTAATGCATGACACCAATATAGTATCCCAGCGAATATTGGAGCAACCTCTGATGTTTCCACACACACAATGAATAAAGCTCTACATGAAACCATAAATATGCTGCAAGTTCCGTGATGAAGACGCCAAAACTTTCTGTTTCTATGCACAAGTATCCGACCCTACATCTCTTTACCAAACTCAAAACAAAGCTCACTGATGAGATTATCGTATAATCATAAAAAAGTGGGAGATTTTAGTTCGGAAGAATCAATAAGCTCTAAATATCTCATTGATATTTGACCTGCTGACCCCACGATGAAGCCAAACAAGAGAATGGGGATGATTTCTACTGCTGCTGTTTTAGCAGTTAGTCCCAAACTCTCACATACGCAGTAATAATAACCCATTAGTTAGAGAAACTGTACAAGACAAGTAAAAGTTAAGACTGGAAGATATGGAAAACATGTAAAAGCATCATAATTGTTTAATATTGATTGCAATTGGTATCGAGATTAGAGCCATCTCTACAGCAGGGCAGGAAAGAAAATTTATTTATGATGCTTTGACAAAAACGGTTCTTTAAATCTTTCATCCCGTCAGTCCTTCACATCTGAAGCATTATAAAAAAAAATGACCTCATTAATTAGATTAATATAATTATCCAAACCAACCCAGTCATCTTGGAAAATAATCCTGATTACAGGCTGTTAGAGATAACAGTTGGAAGAGCTCAGTTTCTTGTTCCCCAACAGTTTGAAAGAGGAGTAATAAATAAAATCAATGTATAGCTTCTTATTTACTCAGGTTATATGTATCCTATAATAAACATTTGGAATAGAATAGTTGACAAAGAAAATAAACACTGAAACGTTGATAAATCTTTTTGCTGCACTATAGATCTGGTTAAAAAGAAGATGCGTTTATTTCTGAAGCAAAATTCAGACACAAGCTGACTCAGCGGTTTACATTCAGGGCGTACAAAAAGACAAAGTACAAAACCATTAAGCATAGACTATTAAAAAAAACCTAAGAAACTTTAAATGTTTAAAAACTTTGACGGCAAAAAATAAAATAAAAAAGATGAGAAGAAAGCCCCAAATCTTCCATCAGTAATGCAGAAAACAAAAGCTAAACCATGTCCACAGCAGGTTACCGTCCGAAAGAGAAAAAATAAAAACACTCCTCTGATTCAGAATACTTATTTGGACCTGAAATAAACTAGTTTTTCCTTTTCTAAAAGCTATAGGATTACTTTGGAGGAGTTGTACTAGAAAGTCTTTCCTCTTATAATCAAGTTGTTTCTTTCCTATTAAGCAAAAATAACAGCTGAATGGGGGCAGCTGGGCTTCCTCCAGTATAAAACCTGAAGTTGGGATATAGTCCAGGATGTATCCTGCTATGTGTTGTGCTTAAATCCCTAAAGCTGAACTCCATCATCAGTGGCTCAGAGACCTTCAGCTTCCTGCCTAACTGATGTTCAACAAAGGAAACAGCCTTTAATCCACAAAAGCAGCAGCTAAGCAGCAAGTTTCATCACATCAGTTATTTAGAATCCAATATCCCCTAAACATAGCCTTCAACACCGAATATGAACAGAATACAAAGCATGGACAGGAAGAAGGTTACGGCAAAAGCTCCCAAAATAAAACAAAAAGAAACCTTAACTCATCTACAAGCCAAAAAAAAAAAAAAAAAAAAAAAAAAAAAAAAAAAAAAAAAAAAAAAAAAAAAAAAAAAAAAAAGGATCAACTCACGCTTCAGAGTGGGCAATGTCATCCAAAGTGGCTGAGGCAGACAGATATCTGAAGACACAACAGCGGGATAATGACACAGAGGAAGAGATACAGACAGTCACAATACAGCAGTCTTTAACTGGTCCTAAACCTGTCCCAGTCTGGGAGACGCACTCTGATACTGGGCTGAAGGAAAGAGGGGGACAGCTGAAAGGGTTTGATTTGAACACGTGAGAATGTAGAACATTTCATTACATCAGAGAGAAACAGAACTGTCATTAACAAAAAGAAAAACATGATTATATTTCTATATAGTTTAGATTTCTAGATTTAAAAAAAAAAAGAAAAAAAAAAGAGCAAAGCCTCCAACTTTTATTTATTCCTGTGTGCATGTCAATTATCGTGCCCTTCATAGAGGACCGGTGTTGAATGTAATTTCCTCTTGAGGCCATTGAGGTTTTATGGGCAGACAGCTGCATTACTCCCAATATTTAAAAAATATTGCTTCAATATCAATTTCAGAAACTGCTAAACAAATATCAAAGGTTTCAGGTTTCTTTTTACAACAACATACAACCAGAAATCATAAAGACTGCAAAGATATATTAAAAAAATAAGCAAAAAAAACATTACTAGAATAAACACTAGAGCTTTAACCAGAGGAGACTAATGTTCAGCGACGTAGGACCAAATTTGGCCAAATGGTTGCATCCATCAGAGGAGCACAGTTATGGAACACACTGCCAGCTCATGTTAGGGGCTGTGTACCCTACATACGTTTTAAATTCTCCTTGAAACATTGGTTGAAAACTAACCAGACATGTGTTCACAGGTAAATTGATCTGTTTCCATGGGCCTGTTAACCTCATTTCATTGTTAACCTAATTTTATTGTGATTTTATGTTATTGGCATCTTATCTGTTTGTGTCCACTCTGTTCTCTCCTGTAGCGTCTTGTTTAATGTTCACTGTTTTTACCTGCCTTAGGACAGCGGACTCAAATTAGCTGTTGTGCTAATTCTAGCATATTTACATTTATGCTGACATGTTGATGAATGTGCATTGTCCTAATTCAAATAAATAAAAGGTGAGATTAGAGATTAAAAACAAGTACTATAAATGTCCATTAGAAGATATTGATCATTCCGAGGACAAATTCAGTCAAAATCTATTCGCTTCAAAACATCCTAGCTATTATATGCTACAGTTTTTTCTTGTTTGTTTTTTTCACTGAAAAGGTAAAATCCAGTTAAACACACCATCATAAAAATAAACCGCAAGTAGGTTTTTCCCCCAAAATATCCCAAATTGGCGCTTACTGCATAGCGACGGCATTGTAAGCATTATAAGAAAGAACATTAAGGATAAAGAATTGCTGAAAATGCACAAAAAATAGAAAAATAAACTTACTGCAGATCAAATAGCTTTTCTACGAAAGAGAATAAGGGCCACTGAAAAAAAAAAAGTTTACCGATTTTAAAATTTTATTTCAATTTAGTATTGGAAAAAAGTCGAATTCGGACTTTTTTCTCAGAATGCTGACTTTTTTCCTCAGAATTCTTTTAATCTCAGAATTCTGACAGATAACAAACATGTTAGCATCAAGCCATAGCCATGTCTGTTTTAGAGACTAGCTCTCTTGCTTTAATGACCTTCTGCTCCTCCATCAATGAGGGGACCCCTCGGGCACGTAAAAAGTTGACTAATTCCATCATTTTCCACCAGTGTGTCACTGCCCACCTCAAGCAACTCACATCTATGTCAGTGAAGCTAAGTGCTCCCACATCTCTTCCTTCATGGTGTCAATCTACAGTAAAATCCAAAATTCTGAGGAAAAAAGTCAGAATTCTGAGAAAAAAGTCAAAATTCTGAGATTAAAGTCAGAATTCTGATTTTTTTCCAATACTAAATTGAAATACATTTTTAAAATCAGTAGACTTTTTTTCTTTTTCCAGTGGCCCTAATCCTCTTCTGTACTTTTCCCTCTTATTTTATGGATTTTTTTCTTAAATAAATATTATGACCTATAACTCAACTCAATTCAAACTTTAATTATAAAGCACATTCAAAACAACCGGGGGTGACCAAAGTGCTGTACAGGAATCACAGTTAAGGAACATAAGATAAAAACTGAGCTAAAATAGATAAACAATTAAAAGACATTTTAGAATAAAATAAAATGTAAAATAAAATAACATTTTGCCAAATGTCCACTTAGACATGAGAAGGGAGAAGAAATGTGATTTTAAAGACAATTTAAAAACCTCAAAGGAGCCTGCTGATCTAATATGCCAAGTTATTTATAAGATAAATCAGGTGACCAAAATATGATATAAATCTAAATTATACTGTGAAATTAATTAAATTCCCATGTATTATGTATAATAATAAAAATTTTTAATGAAATGAAATGTCAAATTCTTGCGTCAAAAATCGAACTAAACCACATTTTAATGGAAAGTCTTAGACTAGGCGGATCCATGCTCCACACTTAACATGAAAGTTCTGTCCTTTCTAAAATGAACTTACTGTTCAGATGGACACTGGACTACCAATAAATTCAGAGATTAGAAAACACAAAGCTTTGGAATAAAACTGCTGTGTAATCGAGTTTTGATCTAAAACTTGTCAATAGATTTGTTTGTTCTTCCTGCAAAGGATCGACTTCCCTCTAAGTCTAAACTCCTTCAGTCTTCTCTCTTCAGATAAGTGTCTTCTGATGGCGCAATAAATAAATGAGCTGCATGAGCAGCTCCACGTTTCAGGAAGCCGGGAGGACAAAGATAACGAGCATAAGCGATGCAGAACAGCTGAAAATGTTTTAAGATGGGAAAAAAAATCCTCCCACAGATAATACAAAACGCTCCAACGCTTAATGCTTTAGCAGATCAAAGCACCGAATGACTCGGCTCATTAGCGAGGAGAGAGAAAAGTAGGTCAAACACACCATTCGCTGCCTCGGTTATGTTTGCTTCAAAACGCAAAAAAATAAAAACGAGAACAAAAACTTGAGGTCCAGCCTCAAGTTGTTTTAGACTCATCAAAACCCTAAACCAGAAGAGAATATTAGCAGCAACGTTTGTCAAGAGAAGAGTAATGATGATGCAGATTTCCTGCAAAAAATTTTCAGAGAAACTGAAAAAGAAACCTGAAAGAGTCTGGATAAAACCGACTCTGATTTAGGGCTGGGCGATATGGCAAAAATAAAATATCAAGATTTTTTGATTATATTATTGTGATCTCGATTTTATCACAATTGTTTAGATACGACCAACATAACTTCGATTACATGCAAAAAAGAGAAAAATGAAATAAATGAACAAGTTTATTAAAATTAGAGAATCAAAGCAGTGCTAACAAACTTATTCTTTAAATGTCTATATTGTAAACAAACCAAAGAGTATAAAAATGCAATAACTCCTGAGTAAAACAATTACAAATTAGTTAAATTTTTCAAGTAACTACATTAAAAAAATAAATAAAAAATTCTAACTGTATCTTAGTGCAGTTTTATTACTTTAAAATCTTGACTGGTCTAATAAAGTAGAAGAAAATAGAAAGCACACAGAAACTAACTTGAGTTAAAAAAAAAATATTACATTAAACAATAGATTTGTATAATTTCTAAAGTCTTTCGAAACAAAAACTATTATGGAACTGCAAATATAGATCAGTATAGTAAGTCAAGATGTAATCTGTGCAATCTATGATGATATGATCAGGAAAATAGGCTGTCTGCAGTGTTGCATTACATAGCTCCCAGTTGCTGATGGAATGTATGGTCAAGCTCAAATACGGCTCTGACGTGCGGCTGAACCAGAGGTCGCTTGAATTGGCAAATCTTTAACTGATTTTTAAACTAACGGACGAACGTCAAACCCTCGGATTATATTCTAGCTGTGGCAGAAATACAGCAGAACTGCAGTTCTGTGGAGCCTGATAAAACGGTCTCTTAATAATGACAGATCGTCAGAGGTGTAGATCGTAACACAGTCTTAAATCGTCATATCGCCCACCCCTACTCTGATTCTCATTTTTTACTGCAAATTCAAATGTGAGGCATTTGCAGCAGAAACAGGAGGGATCGGACATCGGCATCAGACAAGGCTAGACTACGCTGGGACCACCGTCAGCACAATGCAGCTTACAGTACAGCACAGTAACGTCAGACCCAGCGGCTCTGTGCTGGCATTGTCCTAGAGAAAACAATATGAACAGAGGAGGGGAGGACATCTTTAATTAAGGTCTGTAGCTCTACCAGCTGAGGTCTCCATGACCTACACAGCCTACTGGAGAGGAGCTGGATGGCAGAAAGTACAGGGAAAACCTCCCCTCAAAAAAAGCTTACTGGAAGATTCAATCCCATCATTACTAAAACTTTTTTAATAATCAAATTTTTATACTTTAACAATCTCTCCAGCTTTAGACAATCAGAAGAGTTTTATAACCAATATATTTTCTTTGCACCTCCTGACCCCGTCTCTGTGTGGATCATGTGACCCCGTCCTCCTCCTCCGTGTCTCTTGTTGTTTTCCCCTTGTCCCGTTTATTCCCGTCTGAGCGGCCTGTCTGCTCACTGGGAGCGAAGGAGGAGGCGTCGGAGAATGTGTGTCAGAGATAGACATGATTTCCTGCATGGTCTCTCTGTGTGGATGTTAAATACTTCCACGCTGCTTACTTCTCCTGTCATACATTTTTTCCTCCCTATCAAACAGATGCAATCCATTATCATTCTGAAAGCAAACAAAATAAAGTCCAAGCCAACTTGGTTTCTAAATGCAACAGAAACACTGTTCACCAGCTGCACAGCTGCGAGAGTTGGTGGCTACATGTCGAGTTCTCATCCATCCGGTTTATTGATCAAACCTCTCAGAAGCCATTTAATGGTTTGCCTTCAAATTCAGCCATTTGAAAACGGTTTTACAGCTCAGCCACAACGGAGCAGCTGGACATGTTTTACCAACATCAAGATCAAGAGATGCAACCCTGTCCTCCAGTACGACTCTGAGATAAAAGACAAAGGATTCTCTTCTTACAGATGAACGCTGTCAGCATGAACAGCCTCCAGTCACTGAACTCTGGACAGATCTATGAGGAGACAACCAGAGACAAGCTCCTCTTTGTGCAGAAATCCCACCAGAGTGAAAAGAAAAGGTGTCACGTCTGACCTGTGTGGAATTTCAAGAAAACTCTGCCTCTAATTCTACAGTTTCTCACACGGTTGCAGCTCAATCAGATTAACAGCATTTAAAAAGACTTAAATAGTCAACAAATCTAGTCAGGGATTTATCATTAATGGGATCATATAGTCTGTACAACTGAGTGCAGAAACAGAGCTAAATTTATATAAATAAACATTTTGCAATAAAGATTAGGACAAAAATGTATCTCCGTTTATAAATACATCAAGAACTCCTTAAATGAAAGGGTTTTAGCTTCAGATTCAAATTCTGTAAAAAGAAAGATCTATTAAGCATCTTTTCTATCTAGTTATTTATCTGCAGCCCTTTTTGGTTGTGAACATGTGAAATTTAATGTTAGGTTGGATGCGATGCTCTGGTTAGAGTGTTAACCTCATCTATTTCTCTCCATCCCTGTAGTCATCTCTACCAGGAAGGAATAGGCTACCATAGAAACGGTTTATAAGACAGGGAGGCTTCTTCAGTGCAAGATTAGCCAGAGAGGGTCAGGCTGACTTTGGAAGGACTCCGATTGGAGAACAGATTCTCTACCAGAACATCTATTAACAGGTTAGACTAACAGACGGAGCAGAGGAAAACACCCGGCAGTGTTTATTCACAGAGGAAGAGAAGGGGACACATCAGCGGCTCAAGAGGAAGAAACCCCAGCTGATCTCTGAGGAAGCAAAACACTGATTCAGTATAGAATAAAGCCAAACAGCTAGTTTACACGATACCTCCACCACAGGCCTGCAGGTTAGGAAAACGTCTCAAATGCATCAGTTCATTATTAGTAAACTAACCAGTGAGTTATAGGCTACAGGGTCTGTTAATGTTAGGACAGGAAAAAAATACATCTCATTTCAGTGCAACAAGTATAACCAAATAACCAAGAAAGTCATTAGAAGTGTAAAAGTGCTGATCCAAACATTACTTCTTTAAAAAGAAACTAAATAAGTAGATTAATGCAAAAACAAAAACAAGTGATCCCGCTGTAACACCAAGTGTTAAGAACCAGCTGCTGCGACGTTAGTCGCTGCCAAGGTTAGAATGTGTGTGTGGAGAATAGCGGGGGGGTTACTGAGGGGGAGTCAGAGCGTGAGAGAACAAACAGCAGAAGCCCAGACATCCACCGGTGAGACGAGCAGCAAACAGAGCATAGACTCACAGATCCGAACTGGTAACCCTTTCATTCCACTCGCCCAGTTTCTCTGTGGTTCTCACATAGCTAGAAACAGAAACGGGAGCCGGTTACCCAACCGAGGTCCAAGCAGGGCCACAGAGGTAAACCTGCGCTTCTGCAAAGAAACACTTCTGAAACAACCGATCGACACCCAGGATTCATTCACTTAAGCCTTCAGCTCAGTTTAGCTTAGCTTTACAAGTACATTTAGCTAACATCTAAAATTATAAACATTTCTCCTACAGGAAAACTCACCAGCAGTTTATCTAAAGGTTTTAATTTCATGATGCAGAGCTCCAAATATTTAAAATCTTATTTATTTTTTCTAGAAATGCCCTTAAAGTCAAGAATTTCAAGTTGCCACTAAGATATTTGTTATTCTGTAAGCGATGTTTAATAGTATTTGCACATGAACTAATCAGATGACCTCATTCATTATTGCTTTGCATCAATATTCAGGAAACATCAGCTTAAAAAAACGCAGCTGAAAGAACCGTTTTCAGGATCAGCAATAACTTCATGATGAGGTTAAGCTGCAAAGAAGAAGACTTCAACAATAATCCAACCAGATCAGATCAGCTCTATCACCAGTGTAGAGCTTACACTGGCAGCAGGTTCATTTTTTCACTTGTTCCATTGGACTTGTTCCTGTTTTTCCTGACATCTAAAATCATCTTGTTTTGTTAACAGAGGATCTGATGATTGTTTCCGCCTGCCTGCTCCTGTACTCGGCGTCTTCATCTCTGCAGAGTCATCCTAATGTTTCTGCAGATGACGTCACCGTTTAAAAAAAAAACATGGTGATGGGAATGGTGAGAAAACCGACTACCAGGTTATACTTGAACCTTCAAGTCTCACAGTCTCAACCTGTTCAATCCATTTGCTTTTAAAGAAGAGGAAACAAAAGTAAACAATCTGTGATGAACTCCAAGTTCTGCATATAACAAACCATCATTTCCTTCTTAGTGACCCAGAGGGCAGGAAGTGGTCAGCGTTGGTCAGAGTCTGCTCTGGAAGCTGAAGCTGATTCAAGTCTGTCCCAGAAACTCATAACTCATAGAAATTATTAATAACTCCCTGACCAGTAAATTAGGATTTCCCTAACCCTTGATCCGCCAATATGAAAACACATCTTACAATAAATATAATTATATTGTACTATTTTACCTAGACAGCTACACAGATTCAAAGAGAGCAATTACTACAAACATTAAAGGATTACTAAGAAATTAGTAATTACTCAAAAGCAACACGTGTAACAACCTCAAGGCGTTTCTTTTCCAAAGCGGTGACATTTTTATTTGGAAAGGCAATCGGGTTGAAAGGAGAGGTTGATATAATTATCTCTCTACCAAAAGTTTTTTTTTTTTTTTTTTTTTTTTTTTTGTTGCCTTGCCAATGAACTAATAATAGTATTGTAGCTTGACTTCAGAGGGAATTGAACCTCTGGATTCAGAACCAGAAGTTCTAGTTCTATATATGAGCCTCCGGGGCTGAAGGGGTTAATGCATACGTACGCCTGTGAGGTCTGTACATCTTGCCAGCTCTTGGAGATGTTCTGCTTGAGTTCGTTGAGCGGATTGAGGCCGAGTTTCCTCTTTAGCTCTGAGGCGTGTTTTTCTTTGGCCGACAGAACCAGGCGCAGGGTGTTGATCTCCTCCTCAACCTGAAACATCAGCATAGCTCAAACCAAAATACTCCAGCTCTGTCACCCACGGATATATATATATATATATATATATATATATATATATATATATATATATATATATATATATATATATATATACATATATATATATATATATACATATATATATATATATACATATATATATATATATATATATATATATATATACATACATATACACACATACACATAAATAAAACTGTAAATTAATCCCATATTTTAGTCAAAAAAAAAAAAAAAAAAAAAAAAAAAAATATTCAGATCCTTCACATCACATCTCTTTACGGAAGAGGATTAGGGCCACTGAAAAAAAAAAAGTCAACTGATTTTTAACATGGGGGGAAAAAGTCAGAATTCTGACTTTTTTCTCAGAATTCTGACTTTAATCTCAGAATTCTGACTTTAATCTCAGATTTGTGGATCTTAATGTAGATGGGCACCATGAAGGAAGAGATGTGGGAGCACTCAGCTTCACTGACAAAGATGCGAGTTGTTTGGGAGGTCTAGTGACACACTGGTGCAAAATGATGGAATTAGGCAACTTTTAACGTGCCTAACGAGGGGTCCCCTCATTAATGGAGGAGCAGAAGGTCATTAAAACAAGAGCTAGTCTCTAAAACAGACATGGCTATGGCTTGATGCTAACAAGAAACCAGAAGGGCTGGTTTAAGAATGAAACGGCTGTTCTATAATCAGGGAAACTCGGTTTGGTACTTTTATTTTAAACATTATACTTTGTCTCTTACCTTTGTTAGCTCTGTGCGGAGCTCCTCGGCTTCTTCCTCCGTCAGGCCGGGTGGAAGAGGGTGAGCCACGTTTCCCGCCGCTCCCTCCACCTGAACATCGGACAGGTTGTCTGAATGATCCATATTGAGACCTTTGTTGGGAGAGTTCAGGTTGATATCTGATAGAGAAAAACAGAAAAACTATGAAGCGGGAAACACGACAAGGGAAGGAAACGGAAAACGTAAATAAAAGCTGGAGTTTTTTACGATCGTTTTTGGCTGCATTCAGGTTTGTATAGACAGAAAAGAAGATAAACCAATAGGAATCAGTATCTGCAAGCAGACTACGATGTCTCTTCCACAAAGCAGGCTTTATAACTGAGCTTTTTTATTTATTTAATCACACATGGATAAAACAATCTAAAGTAAAAAAAAAAAATGGGTTTCTTTTTTACTTCACCTTAAACGACCGACTCCAGAACTCAGAACAGGTGCAAAGAAAGGAAGTCTAATATGGCCGGCCTTTCTACAAAACTGAGGACTAATTTTAGCAGCGAAGGCTGAGTCAGAGGAGGCAACGCTGGCAGCAGAACAGGAATGGGGAAAAATATTTACTAATGAATCAAAGTAACTTCATGGAACCATATTCTAGGGTTATGGCTGGAAATAAACAAAATATCCAGACGTTATTGCAATATCAATAGATGTTGCAGAAACAACATATCTAACCTCACTGGTAGGCTCTTCCTGCCCTTTATGCTCACATCATATTCTGTTTGGGAAAATTTGTTCCAGACTCTTCTACAAATTTTGGCAAATTAATATGAAAGCTTCACTATGAAACTATTGAAATGATTTTTACAATATTCAGTATTCAAACATGGATTCTAAGAACAGAAATGTCTTTACCCGATATAGATATTAACAGTTGATCCGATCAGATTCTATCGGACTGCATCTGAAATCTCTAAGTATGCTGATAGAAACACTTTGCTTTCAAATGAATGTAACCATTGATTAATAATAATTCTTACAGCCATTGTTTATATCTATTGTTCTCTTTTTGAGAAAAATCAATCGATCCAACATTTTCTAACCTTTAATGCAACAAAATGAGTAAAAGTAGTTAATCCATGCAGATAACCTATCGGACCATATCGGCCTTAAGGAATATTTATCGCTGCAATATATGCATCACATCGGTAACTAAAAGGTTTTATTAGGACATCTCTGTCAAAGAACCACACACTGGATTATGGCTCTAAAACCTTACTGGGGCAAAAAAAAATTGCCATTTTATTAGGGCTGAAACTAACGAAATCGGTTAATATGTTTTTACTTTTTTGATTAATAATCGGATAGCCAATGGTTCCTTAAGGAAGATTTTTTACAAAATCAAAGCAGGTGAAACTAAAACTTTTCCACTTGATTGACAGTCAATAAGTCGATGCAATCAGCTGGTTTTCATTAGATAGAAAACTTTGAATCATTCTGACTGTATGATCTGGTTGAATCATCTCTGTAAAGTGCCCTGAGATGACAAGTGTTGTGAATTGGTGCTATATAAATAAACTGAATTAAATTGAATTTAATGGATAGAGCATATTGACGGTCAAAAACGTTGTTTTTTCCATCTTAAATGCAAAATATTTATACATTTTTACAACTGTACTATAATTACTGCTCTCTCAGCTAAACACGTGTTACAAGTCTCTACACTCCAGTTAACAATTAATCGATTACTAAATTAGTTGATGATTATTCAAATAATCGATTAATCACAATTAATTGTTTCAGCCCTAAATTTTATTTCTTTTGAATCTTAATTTTGTCTTTCAGACTTATCCTGACCTGGGAGACATTTGAATCCATTTCCATGTTCCTCCAAAAGAGGGAAAACCCTGATATTGAATCAGGGGATTCAGGAGGAATCCCATCACTGTGGATCCATAAGCTGGTCAGCAAGTAATCAGAAATAATTCATATTATTAAATCTCTGACAAACACACAAAGTTTGATTTGCCTTTTGTTCTAGTGCAAAATAAAAACTGACCCAGACCATTTACACACCATGGCTAATAAGCAAGGTCTCATTTGAAAATAAAACACAGTCCAATGACAGGATCAAAATAAAAGGGGGAAAAAAAGAATGAACTAGAAATTCTGGAAAAATTGTCAAAAAAAGCCAAATTATACCTTTAAAAAAGAACTCTGTAGAAAGTTACTTTATTATATACAGTGTTAATCAAATAAAGCACTTGATCCAAAAATCATTGGAGACAGATTTCTCAGCTGATTTGGCAGCAGCAGGTTCTCGAAACACACGTCCATCAGAGGTTGGCGCAACAGTTGCGAGTCGTTACGAAATAACAGGATTGACTGCAGGTAGCAGGACTCTGCAATCGAGACATCTCCGATGAGCTGTCAGGAGTCTTTAGGCAAACAGTTACTCCACCCGTTAGGTATACTGACCCGTCTGAAGCAATCAGACAAGCTTAGACAAAGAGATCAATGTTTGGGGGGGTGGGGGGCTGGGATCCTTGACTTCATAATGTTTTACTAACATTTCTTTTACTGCTTTTAAATATAATCTGATGGGTGAAGTTTTGTGACTTTATTTAAAACCTGTGAGCAGGTGATCATTTGTCTGAACTCGTTTGACAGCAGTCTAACCTGTTTGAGAAACACTGAGGCGTGGAATGTGAGGTCATCCTCCACGCCCAATCAGCACCGACCTTCCCGCTGTTCTACGTTCTAAGCTGCTTCAGATTAACAATACTAATGAGCTTCAAACCCACCATCTGCGTTTTATCGTCAGTTTACTTAATGTTAACTTTTGTTCAAACACAAAAATGAAAAAAAAAGACAATTTTTCCTTTTCCTAAAAAGTTTAGGAAAAGGAGGACATTTAAACAGAAACGTCACACAGAGACGAGGAAACGGTTCATGTTAAGGATTTCATTCTAGGTCACACCACTGACCAACAAACGGCAACAAGTGCCTTTGTTTTCTCTGCAAACAAAGCCAGAGGCTTGGCAACGCATCACTGAGTTCATCTGAGGCGCTGCATTGCCACGTCGTTTAGAAACCGCATCATCGCCAACGGGGGAAACCCTGCAGCACACAGTGATGCTGAATGAGACGCTCACGGGGGGTCTCACAATCCTTCCTTAAGGACTTTTACAGCAGTGTTTTTTTTTTTTATTGGTGACAAATGTGCATCAACACCATTTCCAAACATTTTACCCTATGACCCGAAAATAACAAACTGACAATCACATAAATATACATGCAATTCCTTCACTTTATATTTACTTATAGAAGTGAATTATAAAACATTTTAAATAAATATCATTTTAAGTTTTATTTAATCAATTAATTCATCATTTTAAACAGATTTTTCATTACATAGAACATAACATTCAACAGTATATTAAATATTTGCATCCTGCATTTAAAATAAATCAAAGCTGCACCCAATAATTTTAATAATAGATGTTTGTATTTCAGTCCCCTTTATGTCTCTCATTGTATATTTTGGCCTTAAATACACCTTAGGGATCACATCACAATGATCTGGTGACCCCCTCACAGTAGGAACCTTTGCACTAGCGCACACCACACTGAAAAGACTGCAGATTTTTTGCAGGGTCCATCAGAGGCGACACAGAGGCGAAGAAAACTGTTAGCAAAATACATTGTGAGGACAAATCAAAGATAAACAGAAATAACTGCAGAAGGGCGGAGCTACAAAGTCATTGGGTGCGTTTGATTTCAGCATCTTCTAAGGACCTGTCTACCTGGGTAAACCAAATATTACCTCATATCAGACTTTATAACCATCTAAATGAACTATTTTTCATTAATTTCAGACTGAACTATTCACATACTTGCATTATAATTAATCGACACACTGTTCAGCACCATTTCCCTTTTTTCTCTGAGCATGGAGAAGCCGGGCTGCTTGGACTCGCAAGGAATCACGGGATAACCAAGGATACGTAGGATACGCCACACCTGTCCTTCAAAATGGACAAAAAGAAGGCTGCATTTGTCGGCCGAGGATTCTTCCAATCCGAATAGGCCTCGGCACCGCGCTATGACGCAATCAAACTACAAATCTTCCCCTTGGAGGATGCAGCCGCAGTGTTGCATAGCAACAAAGTAAAAATCCATCACTACTGTACTTAAGTACATTTTGGATTACTTCATACTTTCCTCAAGTATACATTTTTTTTGACAAAATTGTACTTTTACTTTACTATATTTCCTAACGTAATTGCATACTTTTACTGTGATACATTTTCAATGTTTAGTTTAGTACTAGTTACTAAAAAGTGAGAGAGAGCGAAGCGCAAGTGTTTTGGCCCCACCTACTGACTGACTGCAACAAAGTCTGGACTTGCCTTGGCTTGTTCATCACCACCAATAGGATACACTCGTTTCACTTCTCCCATTAAAAACAAATCAAGTCTCAAAATCAGCGGCAGACACATGGAAGAGGAGACGGAGACGACAACGACTGCAACATCGAACTGGACTACAGTGGACCCATCAGTCCGCGATGAGAACCCGTGGCCTTATTTAAACACAATGTACTCTACCATGGGTGTTAAAGATTTTTCGGACAACATAAAGTGTCTGTTATGCCCGCCCAAAAACATGGAAATTCTATCTTCCAAAAACACCCCGTCTGACTTAAAGAAACACATGGAGGTAGTCAGTATGCACCCCCTGGTCTGCATTTTGCCTGCACTTGGTCGTGTACCATTTTAATGTGTATAGCACTGACCTTACTTGAAGAGGGAAAACTGAAGGCTTACAAAAAGGTTGTATTGTCTGTCTAAACTTGGTCTAAATTTCTCCTGCACTTGGTTGTGTATATTATTTCAACTGAAAGTTTGCCAAAATGTAAAACATGTCATTCATACAGCTTTTGCCTTGTTTTAATTTCATTACATTACTTGAGTAGATATATTTTTACAGTAATTTTCATACTTAAAAGACATTTCGGATACTTTAAGACTTCAACTCAAGTAACATTTCAGTGAGTGACTTGGTAAATTTCCCCAATGTAAGATCAAGGTACCTGTACTTTTACTTGACTGAGATTTCAGTACTTTATAAAACACCATGCAGCCCCTGAATTCTGACGCAGCAATAGTTTAACAAAAGAATC